ACGGTGGTTTCCAAAGTCTTGCAGCAGGGGGGTGTTGCACATGCAAACACATATGATAGATTGCTTATTGAGTTTTGTTGTTCTGCTGACTCTAAGCTTGGGCAAACGCGCAGCGAATCGAAAGGATGTAAAGTCATCCGCGTCACCATCAACGAAGATGCCACCACAAGCAAGTGTATGAAGTGGCTTGACAAAGAAATCAACACCTTCAAACAACAGCACCCACAAGCGAAGGTTCTGCTGTATGGCAGTTTGCCCTGCACAGGCGGGAGCCCATGGGGAAACATCAACAAGCAAACTGAGGAAGGATTGGAACGCATAAAAGAGCAACAAAAGGAGTTTACCAAACTCTTCAAGAATTTCGCAAGGCTCGTGCGTGACCACCTTGACTCAAGAACGTTTGTTGCCTTTGAGCTTTCCCGTCGTTGTCGCTACTGGCATTGGCCGTCGGTGTTGGCCTTCATCAAACGCCACAACTTGCAAGGGTACAACTTCGATGGATGTATGTTTGGTGTGCGCGATAATCACGGTAATCTTATGCGCAAGAGTTGGCGTGTATGCACAAATCTTCATGAGCTTGCATGTCTTGAGCAGTACATGTGTACACATGATCACACTCATGGACAAAGCAGAGGCAAGTCATTGAAGAGTGCTGAAGGTTACACTTTTGAATACACTGATCTTGTTCACCGCTGTTTTAAGCATAGCAGCTCAAGTCACTCTGCCGCCGTGGCGCAGCGTGCCCTGCCAGCGATCATTGCTGATCCCATCATGTCGGCTGACCATGACATGCGCAGGGAGACCTTGGACATCTTTGAGTCGCACTTTCGGCAGATCGTGGCCTCTGGCTACTACCTCGAAGACGGGTATTCTGAGGATGTGGACGCGGTGCTGAATGGCGTCCTGTGCCAGCACACAGCACATTCCGCTCTGGCAGGCCTGGTTGAGAAGAACCCATGGCTAGAGCCGGAGCTGGGTCCATTGATTCGGACCTCACGGTATGATCTAGCCGCCTTCACAGGTGTGCCCACGAGTCAAGACTACCAAACGGTACACATCTTGATCTCCGACTCCACCTTGTGCTTGGTTAGCGGTTCGAAACGCAAACCCCAGAGGTTCGACTTGGCCGATCACTTTCAGGCCTATCGTCCAACTTACTGCAAGCATTTTCACCACGAATGCCTCTGGGGTGCAGAGTTGCCGTTTCTGTTGAAACGAGCCCGAATTGCCGTGAGGAACCTCAAACGCCAGTTTCCAGGCTGCATGCTGCTGGTGGGCGTGGTATGGTCCGGCAACGAGCTCATCGGCAAGAAAGGAATTGAAGCTCAGACTTCATGGCCCTTCGATCATCCTGACGGCGACCACTACATGGAGCTCCAGGAGAAGGTGCAAGAAGAGCTGGTTGGGTTTGCCGCCGACGTGTTCCGGTATGGCGTGCACTCGGCCGCTCTCATCAGCGCGCCCGACGCTGAGACCTACAGCTTCACGCGGCTGGGACCCTTCAGCGACTGGTACAACCGGCTGAGTCAGTGGTTCCAGGACGAAGTGTATGCACCCAGGTCGGTAAGTGTCGCTTCCGCCTGGTCAACATCAATGTCCTCAACACCCGCATGGACTTGCGTGACCAATGGCATTGCGAGAAATCGGACGAGAATTTAAATCATATGTTCTCATTTTGTCAGAGTGTTTTTCACCTGCTCATGAGGCTCTACGTTCTCGGAGACATCGCATTGGAAGTAGCTGCTACCAGCCCGATGAACCGTCCGCTTGGTGGGCTGGAACTTCGTGATGATCGCCTCCCACCAAATCAGCGATACGAAGAGCTACTTCGAAACCTTGCCGATGTCCGCCACAAAAGGGCAATCGCAGCAGCCGAGCTCACCGCTCGCGCCCTTACCAAAAAGGACGTCGCTGCGGAACAGCCAAACAGAGCTGCACCGATTACCGAGGCAGACATGGCCGTCATCGACGACGAGCCCGAAGGGGAGGAAGATGATCCAGACCTGTCGGAGATTTTCGTTGCAAATGACGCCACGGCAGAAAAGATTTTCCAGCAACGCCGTGAGATCATGGAAGAAGAGCAGGAGAAGATCGCTGCAGAGCTGGACATCAGCTGTGACACCTATGAGGGTCGGCTCCAGACGCTTGAGGAACTCAGCCATCGTGTTGAAACCGGTCAGAACCCGGCAGCATGGCTCGACATTGATGCCGAGGATGATGAGGAGGTATCGCCAGATGATGAGGTGGCACAGGAAGAACCTGAAGATGAAGATGCACCTCAGGGCGAAGAAGGTTCGGCCACCGTCAAGGGTGAGCCCGAGCCTGAAGTACCCTCATCGCCCCCGGCTGCTGCAGAAGGCCACGTTGTGTGCCCTCAATATCTTGCAGATCAATACCCCGAGTATGAATACCGGATGGCCGAGATCGATGGCGCTTTCCAGCAAGTGGTCCAGCTTGGTGACAAGCAACTACCGCTCCACTTCGCGAGCGGCTGGGAGCTCAATGGCGGGCACCTTTTCTTCGCGAAACCTCTCAAGGATTGGCTCACCCAGCTATCCAAGGTCGTTCGACAACACGACCAATTCCTGGGACTTGAGGTCGACGAAGATGGCTACGCAGACTTGGATGAAGTAGCCAGGTGTTTTGGCCTGAATCACCGCAGTGCCCCGCCGCTCACAGTCAAAGACTTGATCGCCATAGCAGCGAAGGACAAGAAAAACCGATTCGAGTTTTTGGGCATTCGAGAAGGGCACAAACTCGAGGAGAAGGGTGTGGCACTATGGCCTCTGAAGATGCGTGCCGCTGCTGGCCAAAGCAAGCACGCAATCAAGAGCGCACAGGACAACTACAGATCGGCAGCTTTGATGTACTGCAGTCCTGCGCTCAGGCCAGAAGCCAAAGCTCCCTTCATCGGGAAGCCCATCGCCAAAGCGGATGAGATCCCTGTGTTGGCCTACCACCGCACAAGGCCAGCGTGCTGGAAGCGGATCGTCAGGAGGGCCTCATCCCAGGCGGGGGCGAGTTTGTTGGCAGCGATCGAGCCCATGTGTACCTGGCTGCAAGTCGCATTACGGAGACCGACTATCAAGGCGGTCTCCGCGGTAAGCACCCCGTTCAGCTTACCGTTGCGCTTCGGGAAGCAGTCGATGGCGGTCTCATCTTTTTCCAGAACCGCTCCGGTGGAATCATGACGGTTGACACGGTACCTCCAGAATACATCATTTCCGTCGAAAACACCGAAAGCCAGTCCACGCTCTGGACGAGGGTAAGTGCCGCTGGCCTACCCGAGGCAGCATCAGCGGATGGAGGTGAGAGCCGGGCCGCCATCACTGGCGAGCCCCGGCCAACTGCAAAAGCAATGCCTGTTTCCCTGACTGCAACCAGCAAAGCGGCACCAGCAAGCAAGGCTGCGCCGTCGACTCCGCCAACTTCCACGGCAAATGAGGCAGAGCAAGATCGACCAGCTGCATCCTATAGTGGCTATGCTCCGCCCGAGCCTGCGGGGCCACCGCCTGGCTTTGATGCACCAATCACCGCCCCGACACTTCGGAAGGGACGAAAGCTGACGGTGATCCAGGTCGAGTGCAGCCAGTGCAAGGGTCTAGTCCTCAGGGGCATGACCCACTGCGACATTTGTTCAGCCGAACTTGCCACCAACACCGAGCTGCCGGAGGAAGCTGTTACTCGACTTTCAGTTCTCCGAAAGCAGCAGCTTGCGAGGGCCGGCCTCGCTCGCACCGAGTGCCCAGTCAACGACTACATCAAGGCGGGCCTCAATTTGCGCGTTGTGTCGGCAAGCGGCCGTGGGAACATGAGCCCAGAAGCAATCATGATCCAAGATGCTCGCAGCCGAATGAAGCGTGCAGACAAGTGTGGCTTCCAAAGCATCGAGGACCGCTTCGAGCATGACGTCCAGTTCATGGAGCGAATGCTGCAAATGGGCTATGACTATCGGGCAGCACAGCGTCAAGACTGGCTTTGCCATGCTCACTTGGCGAATCCACCGCGCAACAAAGCGCAAGTCAGCCTGGGCCTCGGATATGACGAAGATCATTCTTTGGCACGGCTGGCCTACATCGACGTAGCGCCCGATCGCTTTCCACAAGCTATGGATTACATTCCAGAGCAATGGTGCGTGTCTCCTTGCGCGAGTACGTCGAGTACATCAACTCACCTGATTCCCATCGTGGCCTTTTGGCTTGGGACGGCGTGCATCAAATGAACCAATACAGCGCACTGGAGGAGCTTCGCCAGCTATGCCGTGATAACCTCTCCGCTGCCAGGCGCGATGTGGTCAACAAGCAAACTCAAGAGCAGCGCCAGCAGCAAGGCAAGGGCAAGCGCAAGTCCTCTACCGGAGGTGATGGAACTCCAGCTTCAAAGGCAAAAGGAGGTCCGCCACCCTCACCGGTGAGCCCACGTGCATCCGGGTCAGCATCGTCCTCGTGGGGATGGAGCTCATGGAACTGGAGCGAGTGGGGCGAGCAGCGGCAGTGGGATCGCCGCTCGTGGGACTGGAGCTCGAGTCAGAGCCAGTGGCATTGGCGTTAGTTGAGCCAAGTCTCAACACTTTTGCCTGAGCGAGCATAATTCATTGCATAACACCCATTGTCTATATATATGCGGTTTTCCTCCCAAGTCCAAACTTTCAATCTTCTTTTGGCGGCGGGGAGTGAATAATTAAAATGCACGTACAGGGCCACGTTGGCAGTGGATTGCTAGCATCCACACATGCCACACCGAAATGAGCCGACATCACTGTCGTGCCCTGCACCAGCCCTCGTGCACTTTCCGCGTCCAGCTTCGGCAGCAAAGCTACCTTAGCTGAGGGGGGTGTATTTTCCCTCCATGTAATATGTACACTTTGTACCTTGCACATATCTAGGATGTTATGACCTGACCCTGTAGCTCGCGGCCCAAAAGGAACCGTAGCTTAGCGGCTGTTTCTATAGTTTCAGCCTCACTTGCGCTTCGCGCCGCGGGCACAAAGCACAAGTGAGGAACCAACAGCGCATGCTATGGTGACTTGCGCTCCAAGAGGGTCACTCGCGCTGAGCCGAGTGGGATCGGGAGTAGAAGGCAGAAAACAGCAGATAAAAGTCATCCAAGAGCTTCTAAAGTCTCAACGTTGAGCTCTCAAAAAACACTGATATCCAAGACATCTAAAAGTGCAAACCTGCCCATGAAAGTGAGACGCATGTGGACAAGCCCCTATGTTTCTATTGGAAAGGCGCTTGGCCTTTGCTCAATTCAACTTTTTCCTAACGCACGGGCTCCACTTCTATCCTATAGCCGCTAATGGGCCTTGGTTGAAACCTTGTGTATACAGAGCCTATCATATCATCCCTCAACGCGAGACTTTCCGCCTCTGCCTTCTATTTCCCCATGCGCGACCGCAGTTCCAGTGCGCTGTCGAATTCACCCCATAACCACAGTGATGTCTTCTTACGGAGGCTTGTTTTCGTCCCCTCCCTTCTCAGGTAGTTATATGTATATTTTGAGATTATGTACGTATATATGCGAGCTGTGAAAGTAAAAAGTAAAAACAGGACAATGTGCAGAACACGGTGTGACTGCACATCCTTGCTTAAAGCCTTTGCAGAGTCATGAACACGTACTGTAAGGGACACAAGTATCCGCTTGCAACCCCAAGGAACTAGAACAATGTTGGATTAAGTATATGGTAAAATCATGTAAAATCAAAATAATTTCACAGTGCCACCTGTGATATATTGTGTCATCCACAGGCTTCAGGGCATCAGAAACATTACACATTGCAGTGTCAATTGAGGGTGGTTGATACCGCGCACAGCAGGGAGACATGGATGACATCGACATGGAGTTCAAACAACGAGTGTTGGAACATCTTAGAATCCGTGCGGAGGAGGCCAGTGGCCGGCAGGTAGTGGCAATCAACCAATGAAAAAGTGTTGGTTTTGCAAGTGTTGAGGAAAATTGCCCATCTAGAAGCTCCACTTTGTTACGTTGTCATGTTTAGGGCTTGGAGGTGATCCAGCTCCACAGCGAAAATGAGAAGGGAATTGTTTCAAGGAATTGCTGCCAGAGCGTTTGGTAGCAGGGTTGATTTGGGCACTGTCCGGTGCAGTCAGCTCTCCCAACCCAGGGTCTGGTGAATTTGCGTGTCAGCAGTTCATGCCATGGTATTAGGGCCACTGTTTGACTCATTACTTTCATGTGAGAGTTGCATCGTTGCTGGCGCAAGCATGGAAATCAAGATTCTACTATAGGGTATAAGTAGGTAAGCAATGGTAAGCACTGCTCTATTTTGAGACCCTAGCCGTATTTGACGAGAGGTGTTTTGCGTATCACTTTGCCGCTTGCAGGAGTTTTACAATACAGCTAAGAGATGTTAAGGGCTAAAAAGACCAAACAGGGTGAGCACCAAGGCAGTCTGGAATCTTTAGCAAACCAGTAACCCAGCCTGTGCCAGGGATCAAGTTTTGTTTGTTTTGTTTCATTCTCTTTGACTTCCTACTCATCCCTGTGGCAAGCGTGCCAACAAACCTCCGTCGGGGGTGTAAGGGTATTCACAGACTACAACTGAGCGTGCAGTGCAGACAGTCATATTTAAAAGTTGCTGTGACGTGCTGGTGTACATCTGGCTTAAGAAACACTTCACCGCAGCCCAGCCCTCCGGAAGAATTCCACCGCAAAAATGTGCACAGTCACTGTCAAGACGCTGACCACTAGCGCAGATAGCTCGTGGTGTGGTCGAGATAAAAGTTATTCATTGGCCTTTGCCTGCTATGAACTTAACAAGAACAACCAATAACGATGAAATAACATGACATACTGTAAAATGAAGCTAAATAATTAAATATGATATGTGCTCCAAGCCTTGAAACCTATCCGATGTCCTGCCAAGCCGTTCAGCTTGTGAAGCTCAAGCAGCCCTGTCAGTTGAAGAGGAGTATGTGAGTATGTGTATTTGTACTGGTACCCATATGAAGTGTCCAATCCAACGTCAAAACCAAGAAATCCAAAAGCTAGTCTTTCACAATTCTTTCTTGCAGCACAACAATTTTTTGTGTGGTGTGGGGGCTTTGTTAAACCCAGATGCTACAAATTTGTTAACCTTGCTCTGAAGGCAAAGAAGAGTGGTGGTCAGCCGCAAACAGACCGCGGAAATGCCATCCTCAAGGCAGGCCTTTATTGTGCTCTTCGTTTGTGGATGTGTGTGATTTCTATTTTGTGGTAGTGTTCGAGGTTTCTGTCATGGTTTCTCCCACGTCGTGTTTCTCCCACATGAGATTTGAGAAGTGAAGAGGAAGGGGCATGTCATTCCATGTCCATCCGTTGCTTGTTTGTGCAACGTTTATTGTGAGCTGCCCAGTGTTCCACGGTTCGACAGTCGGGATCTAATGCACAATGACAGTTTTTGAGTCTTAACATGTCAGTTGTTGTTTGTTCTTTTTGCTCATGTTTTTTGGTCGTTCCTTTGGCAAATTTGGCAGGCACTTTGTACGAAGTTGAAGGCCAGCTGTGGGCAACGAAACTAAACAAGCTGAATTTGAGTGGCATTCATGAAAGACTGACGCATCCAAACCCACTTCAGCATTGATGTTACAAAAGAGCATAGTTTTGTGGACTGTGAGTAGAATTCCATCGGTAGGAATGACTTACTGACCGAGACCACAAATGTTCAGCAAGGGCTGCTTTCACACATGTTTGAGCTGGCAAGTGCAGACCGCGTCAAAGCGCTAATTAGTTGTAAAAGGTATGCTTGCTGAGGCAGCAATTTGGGGAATCTCTATGTATATATATATAAATCAAGCTCATGGTCGGAGTTCAGTTGGATGTCTGCTCCAAACAGTGTTAAAGATTCTTAAAGATCCTGCATGGACCAGCATGTTGCTGTACATAGTAATTAATCAACTACAGTTGTAAAGTGTCACTGTGTGATACACTGACAGATGCACCATTTATTTTGCACTAAGTGCATGCAAAGGCGCAACACCACGCAACACCTGAACACCATGCGTGATTTGCGCTGAAACTTGTGCGCGATCCTACCAGGCCCAACTTGAGTCTGTTGATTCTGAAGGAGGCGCGGTTGTGTCCACAGTCCCACAATCAAACCAAATGACAGAATGCAAATGGCAGAGACTGCGCAAGACGTGTGCTGGAATGTACAAAAATGTTTGGCAGCAGGTGATCTCACAATTTGCATAGGTGTTAAAGATAAGCAACCAACATGCGTTCCAGAGTTGTGCAGTTGTGTTCCCGCACTGTAAGTCAAAGCAGGTCCTCTTTGTGCACCACGTGCTCCCACATATGAAGGTAACTCTGATAGTTGTCTCGAGGCCCGGAATCAATGGGCTGCAGTGGCAAGTCTTTCTGATTCGCTGCGCCCTCAATTGAAACATCGCACAGATCCGAATAAGATCAAATCAGTATGTATATATAGCTATATATATATAGCCTTAAAGCAACTGTGAACAGCTATGATGAATATATATATATATATACAGTATATATACATATCCATGACAACCCTCCAAGGAGGAACCCCAGACCCCAAAATGACTGCGTTTTTTGTTTGTCTTATTGCCGCTGAGGCTGTTCCATGCCTCACTGGCATTCTGAAGCGGTCGGGCAAAGCCTGGGAACATTCTTCGCATCCTATAGTGCATCGACCAAGAGCCTGTTCACCTCTAGGAAGATTGATCTCATTTTCATTGCAGGGCAGGGCAGGTGTCACCTTCAAGCTTTTTTGATGAATCCATAGGTACTTAGAGTGCATTAGGTTTGTTCACACAACCGGCCAAAATGAATCAATAATCAATATAGTTCGTGATACAGCAATGAACAGAAAGAGGTGAAAGATGCAATCGCCTATACTTCTTGAGCAAGATGAAGACCGGCCCCACACTTGGAGCGAAGAGGTCCTAGGACGCTGACAGCAGTGTCACTGCATGAATTCACTGGCTCAAGAGTTAGGCCGGATAGGCCAGGGATCACAGACAACACTAGGTATTCTTTATATTGATTTGCAAAAGTGCTAGCGAACATATCTCAACTCGGAATAGCACTCTTGCGTGTTATGTTATGTGCCTTTTGTCGCAAACAAGAAAGGCAACCTGCCTGGATCCCCAAGCCCAGATTGCCAGGAGTAGGTTGCAGAGCTATGTAACATACTGGCAAATAATATAACTATATATGTTTTTTGTTCAATTATGTTTGTTGGGAAAGTTAGGTATTAAAATACGTGTTCATAGAGAGTGGGACGTTGTGGAGGCCTGTGTTTTCCAGTGTTTTTTGCTATTTGTTTCTTTTGGTGTCGTACTATCTATGTCCTTTATCTCATCCACCAATGCCTGCAAACAGCTCTCATAGTCCACCTCAGCCTTCTTGTTCACGAAGCACCGAAGAAGCTGTGGGAAGAGTATGGTGGTGCCATCCATTGACCCTATTGCTTGCCTATGCCTATGCTTAAGGACTGAAGCAGCCCCTCCATAAATCATTGTTTGTGCTTCTAATCCTCTAGGAGGGCATTTGGAACCAAACACTTCAATTTCATCCCATGACTCTTGCTCATTTGCATCTTCTCCAATGGTTCCAGCCTCAAGCAGAATCTCTTTCTTATGCAGCCTGCTCAGAGACATTTGTAGCCACTCGCATCTTCTCTTGGCCTCATATGCTTCAATCTGTTGCAAGTACTCATGTGTGATCCATGCAGGCTCGGATGGCATATGTTTGTTGACCTCATCGAGCTAGACCTGCCTGCTGGTGTATTGGCCTTCTTAGCCTTGTTTTGTACCTTCTCTTTGACCAATGCCATGCATGCTTTCCTTGCCTCATCATTATGTCTATGTTTCACAGTCAATTTATGCTGTGCCAAGACTTTGCTTTTGCTTTTGGCATCGGCTTTGGATGCAGGTGTTATAGTCCTGCTACTAGGCACAATCTGCAGCATGGATCGTGCTTATTGTCACAGCTTGTGCCTTTGGTAGTAAAGTGATCTAAAGTGAATGTTCTACCAGCAGACGGCACGTGGCCATTTTTGCTAAAGGCCCACTGAGACTCAGCTGACCCCCAATCGCTTTTTGCAGCTGGGGGAGATGGCAGAGTCTCAAGAACGGAAACAGCAGAGCTGGTCCAGGTCCAGAGCTAAGAGATCCGAGGGAGATGCCGAGTTGATCGGACCTGACCGCTATAAGCTCCGTAGAACCTCAGGTATCTTGGCAGTTGGAGCCTGGCGGCTAGGTTTGAGATCGCAAGGGTGGTGGAATAAGACATTTCCATCGACAATATTCTCGAGATGATCCGAACGGCAAACGCCCTTGAATACTTCAATAAAGCTAAGCGCTCTTCCCGATTGTGTAATAAACAATTGGACAATCCTTTCGTGGCACCAGCGAGAAGGAATGCTTTTTCTCAGAAAGTGCAGCAGAGGGAATCTTTTGTCCCGTAGTATTTTTATCAACATCTTTTGAGAATTATGAGGCTCAAAATTCAGCTTGGAATACTGTTGTGGGAGCAAGGATTTCCTTTAAGAAGAGGGCTTCCCCGCTTCTTATAATACAAGATCGACTCGACTACAATATTCCGAATGACCTGGCCACGAAGGAGCAGGATGGAGCACACTATGTGCCTGTGCCTCCTGAAGAGGAGATGACTAAGAGCCCAGAAGTGCATTTGGCTCTGGATGAACTATCCTCCAAGAAGACCTTCGCCAAAGGACAGCGCAAACACTTTGTCTCTGAGGTGAAAGATGTCTAGATTGCCCACAAGCACATGTGGGGCTCCCTGAGGACGAAGCTCAACCGTCCCAAGATCCTGCCGCACCTGCTTGAAGTGTTTGCTGGCATACCACTTCTGTCCCTCATGGCAGCTGAAGCAAGCTATGCTGTTTCACAACCATGCGACATTTTGTTGGATGGTTCCAATTTGCTCAATGCAAGCAGTGACGACCCTTACTGCGTGAGCTTTTCTCCCGTGTGTGGTCCTTGGTCGTGTTTGTAGCAGTTGTCCGTGGCAAAGGACCCTAGCTATGCTCAGAAGCTGGATGAGATTCTAAGATGTGGCATCCTGTTTGCAAATGGATCGTGAAGATCATACGATAGCGTGTTGCTCGTGGCAGGCAAGTTCTGTTTGAGCAGCCCTGGCTGTCCAAGATGTGGCAAACCCTGACCATTCAACGTCTTCTAGCTGATCAGATAGAAGACAGCATGACAGGCGAGACCCTCACTGTGAACTACATCGACCTATGTGAGTTTGGCCTGAAGGACGAGCAAACAGGTCTTCCTCACAAGAAGCCGACTGGTATCATGACTGCCAGTCGAGGTGTGAAACATAATCTCAATCGAGAATGCTCTGGAAATCATGAGCATCAACCTCTTGAAGGTGGCAATCGCACCAAGAAGGCCCAGAACTGGCCCTATGAGCTTTGTCAAGCCTTTCTACAAGGATTGCAAGAAGAACTTGAGATGACCTACACCAAGTATGCCTCCCCAGCAGAGTACTCTCTTGAAGAAGAAGCTCCCTTTGGATGAACTGGAGCTGCAACAAGAAGAATGTCGAGAAGACCTCGATCTACAGACCAGTTGCGCCGATTGGAATGGAGGATGGCCAAATGCGTGGCTGTCCATCGACTTCATCAGATGACTGGACACGCAAGCTCATCCGCTATATCAAGAATGCTCAAGCTTGCCAAGGCAGATCTTGAGGTCTTCAACCGCCTGAAGTACTTCAAGTGTGAGACATGTCAGCGCCACAAGAAGCCAGAACCTACGCCTGTGGTCAGACCTCCCAGTCTCTACACTTTCAATTGTGAGATCACGGCTGATTGCTTTGAATGTCGTGAGGCGCTTGGCAACTGCTTCACCGTCCTCTCTGTGATCGGCGTGGGAACATTGTTCCATGATGCTTGGATCGTCTCCGGCACTGGAGGAAATCTTTCATCAAAGAAGTGTGCTGAGATTTTCCGTGATCATTGGTTTTCCTTATTTGGTCCACCGAAGTTCCTCACCGTAGATCGTGGACTGGCTAACCGTGGACGCGTGGCATCACTCATGCAGTCGTACGTAAGGTGTTTACATGAGGTATGTTGGCACTGAAGCTGCACACCAGATTGGTCGAGCTGAACGACAAGGATCAACCCTCAAGGATGTTTTTGATCGCATTGTCATTTCAAGGAATCTTGTCGGAGGACAAGCCATGCGAATGGCTGTCGCTGAGTCCACCTCTGTCAAGAACACCCGCATCAACGATGGTGGCTTTGAACCAAGTGAATGGGTCTTGGAACAAACTTTTTTACTGAGACCATTTCGCTCAGTATTGAGGCCACAATGGATGCGCTTGGAGCTCAAGACGATGTGTTTTCAGGAGAATCCACTTCCTCGTAGGATGATGTCTTAGGCTGACAGCAGCCGGCGACTTCGCGCCGCTCTTTTGAGGAGATCCACTCCACTACGTGGACCATATCATCCTGGAGTCCTTCTGTGCTTCGACCGCCTGAATCAGTGGTACGG